GCTCAAGGCTGGGAAGACTGGCCTGGGACTCTGGACAGTGCAGCTGTACACCGGTTGAAGCTACCATTAGATAAGTCGTGACAACCCAGTTAAAACCTTAAGCCCCAAAGTGCCCATTACCCAGGATTTCACAGAACATGGCCCATTATTTTCAGCAGAACAGGGTAGTCAAAGAGAAGCAGAAACCAAATTTGCAGCTTAGGTTTGAGAAAATGGAGAGGACGTTGACACAAGATGATAGAGTAGAAGGAGCAGAATTAGAGTCTGAGAAGTTTGGCAATCAGTAGTCATCATCTAGACTCAGAATTAGAGCCAGGTGGGGAATCCAGTGTGAAAGTAGGGATCCCAGTTAGAGGGCAAAGCATGATAATAGAGACTAATTCAGAGTGAGAAGTGCACAGACCAGCCAGGCAGTATCTGGGAAGTGGATCCTCGCTCTGGGGTTGGGACCGGGAGGCAGAAGTCCTGTCCTGCGAAGGGGCCAAGAAGAAAGTAGGAACATAGGGCTTCTGTCCCAGTAGGGCCTCTGAATTCTAGCTGTGGCAGCCGACAAGGCATTTAGGAAAAAGGACTAGGGCATATGCCTCACTAGTAGACTCAGAGCCCGCGAGGCCACCCAGAGTCATGAACAATTGCGTGAGCGCAGCTATCAGCACTGGACACTGTTCAGGTTTGGACCTTTGAATCCTAGAATGGATGACTGCATTTAGCAAATTACCTTCAGCCTCAGATCAGGATTGGTCCTGGGAATATGGGGAAACTGCACCAATCTGTGGGCAAAAAGGAGGAGGAGAATCCAAAGGCTGAGGGCCCTCCTGACCTCGACACAAAGGCAGCAACTCGGCCTCAGCTGCTGCGTCCGGCATTACCCTGTGTGACTCCAAGACAGAGCAACACTTAGGAGTGCTGCTCTTCAAAGGAGCCCAGGCTATGTTTCTAAAGAAAAAATATTTATACCAATAAAATTTACTTTTACTTCTCCGTTCATTCTCAGATGTTAACCTTATACTAAAAGATTCAGAAAAGCAATTGCCAAATTGCCAACGTTTTTATGTTTCTTTCTTCTTATGAAGAGGACTGCTAGCATCTCAGTTTTCAATTTGTTAGAAAATCTCTTTTAAAACTTGACTGCAGCTGGCTGGCCCCTTTCTCCTTATTTAGCATTTGCCCTCTGTTCATATGCCTTGCTGTTGGTGAGCTTGGGACTGACGTTTTTTATCAAGTATTCGGTTGAACCATATGAAATTTGGATATTTGACTGTCTTTGTCTTTTAGAAACTGCACTTTCCTATGGGCCAACCTGGTAGTACCTGTTGTCCCTTGCTTCTTTTCCCGCAAACAGCAAACATACTCCTAATTAAGGAGAGGCCCAGAGCCAGGCTGCTCAAAGCACCCGTGTCTTCCACACAATGCTGCTGCTCTGTGCTGCCCCCTCAGCCTGTGGTTTTTACACCTCCTATCGTGGCCTGAGCGGAAATTTGAATGTACTACTTCCTGTCAGAAGCTGACATCTTGGCCAACAGAGCTTTAAGCCATAAAAATTTCAGCTTAGGTCAACAATTTTCTAAAGAGACCCTGCCTTCAGAACCTCCTTTCCCCAATATTTAGTCAGCTCAGAAGTAAGTTTTAGAGGCACCTGGGTGGCTCAGTCAGTAGAGCATCTGACTTCAGCACAGGTCATGATCTCGCTTTGTGAGTTTTAGCCTCATGTCGGGCCTGGAGCCTACTTCAGATTCTGTGTCTCCGTCTCTCTCTGCTCCTCTCCCACTTGTTCTCTCTCTCTGAAAAATAAATAAACATTTTAAAAAAGGTAAGTTTTAAATCATTTTATCACACCTAGAACAACCAATTCAGTGGGGTTTTTTCCTACTGGTATAGATTTATGGGGAATCATGCATGTCATGACACACGCACATGCACATGCACATGAGTTAGGGTCTGCGTTTGCAGAAAGGCAGGCCAAAGTTTGGGATGCCATCTCTTTCACATAAATATTTCTCTGCAGAGAATACAAGTAAGGACAGTGTTGAAATCCAGAAACTTGTTCTTAGCACAGCGCAGGTTAGAAAGGGTACAGACAACTAGATCTGAGAGCCCTGAGATCATCCCCTGCTTCTTCTGTGCTTTCATCTCCCGTCATTATCTTCCTTCAAGTTCTTCACCAAAATATGCAACATGTGTTTCTGTCGTTTGCTGTGTTCTTTTGCACATCACACCCCATTCTGATCTGTGTACCCCAGAGATGTGTTCTCACAGGGCCTGCCTCATGGAATCGGGAGGAGCTCCGTTCAAGTGACGCGTGTGGTGTTCCATTTAGTTTTGCATCCCTCATTACTGCAGGGACAGGAGCTAGGCTGGAACTGGGAAGTAATAAGCGAGTGATTAAATGACTTGAGGGACTGATTTATGAATGAAGGTTGAGGAAAACAAAATTTCTTTGAGCTGAAGCAAGTGCTGAACAAGAGGGCCTGTGGCCACCGTCTACAGGGCTACACAAATAGAGAGTGTTAGCGCCTTGCAGCATGTGTCATGTTGGGGTGAACATACGGCATTAGGAAAACTTGTGGCTGTAATGAATCATTTAAAAGTCTCAAATTGAAGGGTGCCTGGATGGCTCAGTCAGTTGAGTGTCTGGCTCTTGATTTTGGGTCAGGTTATGATCCCAGGATTGCGGGTTTGAGCCCTGCTTTGGGCTCTGCATTTAGCATGGAGCCTGCTTAAGATTCTATCTCTCTTCCTCCCTTTGCCCCTTTACCCCACTTGTGCTCTCTCTCTCTCTCTCTCTAAAAAAAAAGTCTTAAATTGTGTGTGTGTTAGATGGATAGCAAAACTTCGGAGTAATAGTATCTTAATGAAAACTCAGTTGTACTTGAAACAAACATTGCCCAGTTTCCCTAGGATGCCCTCACCTTTTATCTGAAGAAAGTTCTTTCAAAACTCTCCATTAGATCTCAAATACTGTAGCCTAAACAAATAACTCCTGCTGCGCTGTGATTAGAAACAGTTCTTAGTCACATCTTGGGTCCTCCGCGGGACCCTGGCACCTGCTGACATATTTCCCCTAGTCCTGAGACATAGCGAACAAAGTACTGCCACACCCTGTAAATACCTGCCTTGGCTTCTCTTTGCACAGGAATTATACCACAGTTCTCTCATGTTTCTTCTCTTTTTTAATGTTTTATTTTTATTTTTGAGAGAAAGAGAGAGCAAGCAGGGGAGAGGCAGAGAGAAAGGCAGACAGAGGATCTGAAACGGGCTCTGGGCTCTGTGCTGACAGCAGCAAGCTCCATGCAGGAAGCAGGGCTCAAACTCAGGAACCACGGGATCATAATAACCTAAGCCGAAGTCGGACGCTCACCTGACTGAGCCACCCAGGCGCCCCTCGTGTTTCTTCTCTTGATGTTAAAAACCTTATCCCCCTTCTGCCCACCTGATTGCTGCTAATTAAAGGAACTATTTTGAAGCTTCTCAAGAAAGTGCCAGGTAACTTTGGGAAAGTTGCTTATCCTGTGTGTGACTATTTTCTTACCTATAAAATAAATATATGAGTACCATCTTTGGGTATTTAGTAATAAATATTAGAAATAATCTACATAAAAAAACTTGAATTTCAATGGACCTATAGTACATACTCCACAGAGGTAGCTTTTTTGGTCTTTGTATAATTTGTATTTACTAGTATGTGTCTTCTTCCCCAGATTTATATTCTCTGAAGTGCCTAATGCCTACAATGTAGGAGACATTCAGTTAATGGATTACTGAATCGATAACTGAATAAACTAATAATCTGGCGTTAGATTGTTTATACGTTCTCCTTGGAAACCTCAAGTCTATTTTAAAATCGAGAAACTGCATTGGTCCCTGATTTTATCATGCCATTAAAATACAAAAAGAAAACATTCATGTATCCAGAAATAATTTATTGTGTGTCATATATTAGCAAATGTATGGAAAATTGGAAGTAAATTCATAAAAAAGACTCAACTGCTTAGATATTGATGTGTTTGACTATGTGCTTCCCTAGATGAAGAGGATGATAGTATGGGATAATAGTAGCAACTACCAGGTAATGGGGTGTATGTATGTGAATGTGTGTGTGAGTGTGAGTGTGTGTGTGTGTGTGTGTGTGTGTGTGTGTGTGTGATTTCTCTTGGTCCCAGCAACCCTTAGGGTTGGATCTGATTTTCCCATTTAACTGAAGAGAAACTGAAGCTTGAGCCTGAAATACTTTCCCCAGGGCTGAGCGTAGGTGACCTCCTGTCACACCTGTGCTTTCCCCGACAGTGGCTCTCTCATCCCTAAACAGCAGCAGAGGTTCGGGGATCCTTTGGAGACAGGGACGTGGGCAGAGAAGTCTAACTGAGACTACTGATCAGCCCGTCAAAAGAACCAGATCATGTGTCCCGGCAGATCCTTGCTAGTTAGGCTCCAAACACTCCAGATTCAAGATTCAGCCTTCACTGTGGGCTCTCCTTTTTCATCTGAGGTGTCTCTTCACATTCAGTCACAGCACTTCCTGGCAGGTTTCAAAAGGATTCAGCAGAAATACAGATACAGTATTTCTGGATACATGAGTGTTAAGAAATAGGAACAAAATATTCTCTGATACTGGTAGTTACCCATGGTATTTTGTGATGTCCGTGATCAAACCAGGGCATAAATATAAGAAGATAAGAACTTCCAATCAAGTGTTGATATAACGTTTTCATCACTGTACCGGAAGCATATCATTATGTTATTCTTAGATTTTTAATTTTCTGAGATTGTAAAACTGTATATGTTGATGACTCTGCCTATAGTATTCTGCTGATCAGCGTCTGTGGTCCGGTACCTGAGATTCCCTCAAAGGACAGCCTGAAAAGAAATGTAGTAGGGTGTATTCAAAGAAGAATGTCTGTATTCAGGTCTTAACATTTGGGCGTAAGTCAGTTTCAGTGACCGCGGGTTCCTGATTTATCTCTATAAACTAACAACTGTGCTCTCACTTTTATACAAACCAGTGCTTTTGGCTGCCCGTATTCGGACATGAACTTGAAAAAGGAGGCAACTCTTCATGATCGTCTGAAAGAACAAACACAGGCAAATTTGGAGTCTGACTCTTCGCATTCAAAATCGAAGAACCTCTGTACTTTGAACTTCAACGGAAAACATGAGAAAGTGAACAGTCAGCCCAGGTAAGAAACTTTCTAAAAATGTAAATCAGAACACAAACCATGCAGAATAACAGCAGATGTTTTAGCCGTAATAGTTTCTTATGTTTTCTTGAAGCAGTTACGTTTGGTTTTGGGTCTGATTGTGTTCACTGGCTCATAGAAGGCTCGACGTTCATTTAAAACACATTTTTTAATTTATTCTTAATTTGAGCTTACCTCTTTCTAAATATACATATGAGGGATAAGAAAGCACATCTCCTCTGTAAAATCCCATAAGATTCCCTTTTATCTTGAACTTCTGTATTCTTCGGGATAGTTTCATAGCCATGGCTGAGTATTTGCATCCAGCCAAGTCGCACAAAGACTGCGTCCCCCACCTGAGATCGGTCTTGTCATCATTAATCCAGATGCACCTCACACCAGATTTCTTCTCCCTCGGAGCCATTTCCATGTTGACTCCTTGATCACGCCCTGTCCTTTTATTCTTACGTGCCAACTTCTGTTTTAAGCATCGATTTTCAATTTTCATATACATCTTACCATTTTCGAAGAGGCTGCAAACACAACCTTATTTGATAGGTTTTAACCTAAATGTGTTAATAATCTAACTTTTTTTTTTTAAAGAGCTCCCTATCTCCATGTGGGGAATTGTAAACACAGAAAAATTTGACAGTCAGTAAGTAATGGGAGATTAGACAGAGGTGGAGCTAACTAAGGAAGGCCCGTCAGAGAAGTGAGAAGTGGGTGTTTTTCAGACCCCTTCAGGCAGGAGGCACTCCCGATCAAGCCCTTGGAAGACACTAGACTCTCCCTTCTTGAGCTTTGAGGGAGCCCCTACTTGGGGGCTGCTGTTTCTCCTGAACCTCCAGAACTTTGCTCTTTTTGTTCAGCACTTGTGAAAGGAAGAGGTGTGTGCCTTTCACTGCGTGGGAGCTGCGTTTCCACTGCAACAACTTTCTGCCCATTTATGCCGTGGGTCCCAGCAGGGCTGCTCCTTCGCTCCCGAGGAGAGACCCGTCTGTGGGGAGAGCTTGGGGCGAAGTGTGGGTTTTGTTCTTTCCCATCCAGATGTGGGTATCAGGTACTTGGGTGACCTTTCATTCTTGATAAATAGCTGATTTTGGTGTTGCTCTCTCCGCACACCACTGTGCAGATCGGCTCTGCTTTAATGTATACTTTATTTCCTATGGACACTCATGCCTCTCTATTTTTGTAGCTGCATCTTGCATTTTTATTATTTGTGATACACCCACTTCTCTTGTTGCAACTTCACAGGGTCTAGCTGTTCTTTACTGCCTTTCCCACCTACACTGTTTACAACTGTAAGTGGTTTGAAAGCTCGAGCATCCTTTCTATTTCCTAGTTGAGGGAGAATTTTTTTCCTTGCCTTTTTTTAAAACCGTCTTCCAAGGAATGGTGTGTATTTATCCCACCCAGAATTCTAGAGACCAGTGCATCCATTTGCTCATACTCTTTTTGTTCTGTTATCTTTTTTTTTTTTCTAAATAAAAATTCCGTTTCTCTTGTAAACATTTTAGACATTCATCCTCAATGTCAAGTGCTGGAGAGAAAAAACAGATCTTTGGAGTGCTTTAAAAAAAAGCTGTTAGAACTGCCACATTCTTTAAGGCTATCTAAGTCTTTCTTTTTTAGCCAACACGGATATATGGCCTCCCCTATCTTGAACTCCTCGTAGGAACTTACTCTTTCAATATATTATTATATGCCTTACTATTTTTAAGAGGATTTGCACTGAAATACATCAGATAAGCATAATTACTACAGTAGAAAGAAGTAAGGAATGTCAGTTGATAACCAAGCAGAAAAAATCACTGTTGAATCCTACTCATGTAAGCCTAGTACTGTGGAAGTAGCTGGAAGAGGGGAGGGGAGTCATTGCTGTGCACGTCTTGAATTCTTAAGCCTTCTTTTATTTTCCAGTCTCAAGACCAGCACCCACCTTGCACTCCAAACCCTGTACCCCTTTTTTTTAACCAGCCATCATGACAGTGTATGGTACCAGCCATAATGTCCTCTTTGATTCTGCCCCCATCTCTGTGACATCCTGTTCGTGGTCTAGAATTCCAGGCTAGGGAAAAAACAGAAGAAAATCATCAAGGAATCATATGTAGGCCAATTATGAGCTGAAAAACATATATTTTAACTCTCCTGACAGTTTACTTGTAGTAGTTTCCTGAAGCTGGCTTTTCCATAACCCAAATCTTTGCTCTTAAAATCACAAGATATCAGAGACAGGTGGAGGAGAATATTTAAATTCCATCTCTTTTTTTCTACGTGTTGAGGAGAATGATTTTTACTTGGCTCCTGTCCCAGGATAGACGTGGGGATTAAATTACTGAAAATTAGAGTTACAGTTTCCACATGCCTCCCATCCACCCGTCCATCCACCTATCTCTCCATCCATCCATCACTGAGCTCAGGACAGGCCTTTTGTAATTCTTAGGCCAACAGCACTTGTCACCTTAGGATCTCCAGACTGCTGACAATTCAAGTGCAAAGTATCAAATTAACTCTCAACATTCTTCCAGAATCAATTAGAAACTGCCCAACAATTTAGGGAATTTTGTCTTTTCCCTAACCCCTTGCCAGTTTTATGATTACTATTTAAAGGTTTGTTTGTTTTCATATTAATCTTGGTAGAGGGAGTTATTATTAGTAAATCATCTAATTATGTTCACATTTTCTGAATAGAGGATCAAGTTTTAAAGTTGAGGGGGTTATATGCTGCAAGATTCACCTTCATAGCAGCAATATTACATGTTCATGCAGCTCTAAAGAGTCAGACTCACAACAGGCCACCATTACTAAAAACTATATGTTCTTTTTCCCTTGTGTTAATAGAGTAAGTCGTATTACATTGATGGTGCATTAAGTACAGGCAAATGACCTTATACTTGAGTTTCTGTCATTTAAGGATGGACTCTTGGGGAGAGGAAATGTTTTTAATTAGTTCAACTGTTTTATAGTCTGCATATACATTACCTTTGGATAATCCCATAATCTTGTGAGCTAGACAAAGCAAATACTATTATTGTCATTATAGTATTGCCGTTTATAGGTGAGGAATTAGAGGTCTTTAAAAGTAACTGAGACCTAAACATAGGTGTTCTGATTTGATCCAGCATATTCCTGTTTCAGTAAACTAATAATAGAAACACCAGAAGTGTTAGTAATAATAACTGTCTAATATTCATGTCTCACACTCTTTTTGGGCCACAAAGCACCATGCTAAGCAATGTATACACATCATTGTGTTAATTTCATTTTATCCTCACGACAGCCTTATGTGTGATAAGTATTCTTATTCTGATTTTATAATGCAGACCCCTGCAGGTTCAGAGAGGTTAGGCAGAGTGTGTAGGACCACACAGGCAATGAGTAGGAAAGTTAGAATTTGGGTCTAGAACTGCCTGACTCCAAATCTGGGACTGGTTTCAATTACAATAAACTACAAAGGAATGTTGGTTTCATGCTTTGAATTTACGTAGAGACTACTTTCTACTGTATCTAAGATTCTCAGGGTCATCTTGTTATGTATTTATTTCTTATTTAGTGAAAATAGAACTATTAGAGAGGAGGACTCTTACTAGGTTTTCCCAAAACCATTTACTCTTATTTATACTATATGTAATACAAAATCTTCCATCTTGAACACATTTCATTGTAATAGACTAAAGGCCTCACTCTGCAACAAAGAATAAAATTATACTCGTTAAAACAGTGCCATCATAAAGAAATTACTTTGAAATGCAACTGCTCTCTCTCCCCCCATATTATCTGTTAACTGGCTTCCCTAGGCCTGAGTGGAGCATTTTTTTCAGTCATTTCCCACCCACATGAGTATTCTTTAATACCTTTTTTTTTTGCCTCCCCAAAGCAGTGCTTAATATATTCTAATTTACACAATTGGTAGAACCACCATTGTTAATATTCAGTCATATTCATATTCACTCATTGCTATTAAGAAAATCTAAGAAAATGCCTAATAAATCTCATTTTATTTGTCCTAATGCCTTCCATATTATAAATTTTGTGCGCTTCCCTAAGGGCTATATTGATAATAAAAATGGCTGTGGAAAGCTCTGGTAATCAGAGAGAATGGAATGTAGTGGAATAGTCCCTTAATGTTCCTTATAATAAATTGTTCTGCCACAAGCAACTAGTTTATTTCCACTACTCACATTAGCTGCACCATAAATACCTTCTGTGGGGTCCGTTCTCAGAATTAAAACAGTGTTAGTTGCTTGCTTCCCGTTATTAACCTTCCAAGTCATTACATGGATTTTCCTTAATCCATCAGTGTCTTCCCACGTAAATTCTCTGCCGTGGAAGATAAAGTCAACTCAGTGTCCCACTCACTCCTCATCATCACCCACAATATTGCTTTTATTACTGGGCCATTGGTGCCTTTGTTCTCATTCTTCCTCCCTTGTCTACTTCCACCTGTATCTTCTCCCTTCACGAAGGCTAATTTGTGTCTTATTCAATAACAGTTCCAGTCCATATGAGCTTCTTGAGGTTAGAGATCACATTTTACACATTTATATATTTCTGACACTAAGTATAATGCCTGGCACTCAGTGGGTGCTCAACAAATTGAGTAGATTTGGAGCAGCCGCTCTGTGCCAGACATGTGCTAGGCCTGGGGATATGGACCCAATAGGAAATAGTCCCATTCCTTGTTCTTAGCATCCCTTTGTGCTTTGGTCCATACCACACATCAGTAGCTTGTGTGTGTGCCTTTTTAAAGCTTACTTTGTATGCATGCCCTATTTTCTCAAAAGAACTGGAGTCTGCTAAAGAGTTAAGGACCAGTTTTCATTACGCTTTTGTTTCTTCTCATTCCTAGTCCCATTATAGGTTCTTAGTAAATCTAAGTTGATGGGTTCAGGTTTAAACCTCGGTTCCCCTCTTAGAGTTTCTATTTTTTTTTTATATTTTTAATGTTTTATTTATTTCTGAGAGAGAGAGAGTGTGTGAGCAGGGGAGGGTCAGAGAGA